GTCACTGGGCATCTCCCGGGCGCCTGGGGCTGCTAAGATGAATGAGGGGAGACAGGCAAAGTAATGAATACAACAAAACAGCAAACACGCCGGGGTGAGTGTAACTATAGAAACACACGCGCGCTGTGGAGCTGGGAGGGGGACTGCCTGATTCTCTGGGAGTGGGAGGTCTCCTCCAGGTTCTGAGAAGGGGGAAGACGAACAGGTGACCTGACGTTCCCCCAGCTCCGCCCCTCAGTAAGTCCCTGAAGTTTGCTTTTGTTCTACTAGTAGATGTGGGGTGGTGGAGGGGGGGTAGGGAGCAGCGCTGTGATTCATTTCATCAAGGGCTCTTTCAAGCCAAATCGCCAAGAAAAGACCGCCTGGAAGTGGAAAGTGGCCTTTAGCATGACAAGCTTATCCTTGAGATTCAACTCAGACAGAAGCAGCCCCAAGGCCCCGGGGACGAGGGACAAGCAGAGGACGCCACCGTGTGCTGGGGCAGTGCTGCTCATGAATTAGCTTGTCTGTGCCCTCTGGCCAGTGGGCAACCGGGCAGCGCTGGTGGAGCTGGAGTGCCATCTACCCCCCATGCGAGCAGGGGGCTTAGCAGTGCCCATAGGGTGCCACCGTGGGGTCAGTGGGGTCCCATATTTGGGGGTGGGGGCCAGTCTTTCCAAGCTACCCAGATAGCCCCAGGGGACTGGCTCCCCAGTCAGGGAATCACCCTGATGATCAGGGTCTTTCCTGATTTTTACTCAGGGACAGTGTCCGGCGTGGCCCCAATGCTGGTCTAGAGGGGTGGGCCAGGGAGGCCCCTTAGGAGAGAGAGGAGAAAAATGATGCTTCTGTCTGGCACCTGTGGCTGCTAGCCTAAGCCACCCCAGGGACTCCCTACAGGCCTGGAGAACAGTCTGTTCCCCTTAGGTTCTCAGATTGCCCCACTAAAAGTGAAACTTGCCAGAGAGCAGGGAAAAGAAATACAAAAGTTGCCCCAGGAACTCAGCAGAAGAGGCCAGAAGATGACATTACTTTGCTGGCCCCCACCAAGCCCCACCTCCCCCATGACCTGCTGAGTCGGGGATTCCCAGGGGAGGGAGGTGTGGTCCCACTTCCTTGCAGAGAGCAGGAGACAGGTGGAGAAACTCCCCTGTCCCCCCAGCCCTTGTTCATGCCTGACCCCCGTCCTCCAGCAGAGGATGGAAGTAGAGGATGGAAGTAGAGGGCAGGAGAACCATGCGAGCTGGTCGGAAGCCTGATTGCTAAAGAGCCCAGGCCCGGAGATGCTGCATGACTTGTTAGACCCATACAGCAAACGGGGGAGCTGGTGTTCAGACTCTGGCAGAGAACCCCAGCACCCACCCTTCACCATTCTGCTCTACTCTCACAGTTATTGGGCATCTGCAAAGTTTTCAAGAAAAAGCAACTGCTTAGTTTATAGTCACTACAGCCAGGCGTGGTGGATGGGGAGTGAGAGACGAAGTCAAATCGCAGGCGTCGAAGGACCTCAAGGTCATGCTGGAGATTGGGCTGGGTGCCCTGGGTGCTGGGACGCTGGTGGCAGTTTTTCAGGGAGGTACCAAGTGGGTCAGCCTCAGAGTCAAGCTGGGACCAGGAAGCTAATGAAGGGGTGGAGTGGGGGGGTGCAAAATTGGGCAGGGCACAGGGTGCTTCTGCAAAGCCAGCTTCCCATCAGATGGGGACTGGCACTTGGCCATCCCTGAGAGGACAGAGTTACCCCAGGAGCTCTGGTTCAGGTCCATGGTGGTGACATAGATGATTCTCACCGGGGAAGAGGCATAGAGATGTCAAGTGTGATGCTAAATGTGGAAACGCATATCCAGCTCCCAAACCTGGCCAACCCAGCGCCTTCTTGGCACAGAGGAGGCGCCCAGCAGAGCCAAGAGTGACCTGTGTGGCCTGTGCCACTCTGTGGCTGCCCTGGCACGGAAGGCAGTGGACACTTCTGCCTAGGAAGGGAGGTGCTTATTCCTTACTGGGGGGTTTCTTCCTTATTGGGGACCTCACAGTCCTGGCCTCTGCTCTGCCTGGTTCCTCCTTCCCCCAGACTGACCAGCCTGATAAAGAAAACTCCTGCAGTTACAATTATACCCTCTGCCTGCTTTCCTGCGGGTCTGCTGCCTGATTTCTTTCAGGCCCCAGGCTAACCCTTATCCTCCCACGACCCCCACAGCACGAGGAATGCCTTGGTAATGCTTCTTTCTATAAATGGGAAGTTCCTAAAGTTGCCCAGCATGGGTGCCCTGGGCAGCGCTCCTGGCTGCTGGTGTCCTCGTTGGTAATGCCAACCTCTGCAGAGGGTTCTGGCTAATGGGCTCCAGGCAAGGGCTTTGAAGAATGTCGTTAATATTCCCCAGAAAACCAGCCCAGTTTCTGTACGGAGCCAAAGTCCTGTGGAATCAACTTTGTGCAAATGGCCTTTGCAATAGCTTGTTGGGATCAGGTCCCTCCCGCCCCTATTGGTCCTCGTCCGCATGCCAAGCTCCCACAGCTTGGGAGGGCACCAGCATCATCTTGCTGGAGTGTATCAGCAGAAGGTTGTCCCCCTGGTGCTACCAGCGATACTCAAAGAGGAGCAGGGTCGGGCATAGCCCCGTGGTGAGTCAGGGGCACAGCCAGAGCTGGAACTCAGGCCTGCTGCCCTCTGCCCTCTGGAGACACGCTGGTCACCCACTCTGACCCTGAGCTGGGGCTGTTGTCTAAAGAGCCGACCTAGCCAGGCAGGAGACCTTCTGAAGGACTTAAACCCTCTTGTACCTGATGGCAAATCCCACTCAGAGGTCTCTGTGGGTGCCAACTTCCCCAGAGGACATGACCCTCCAGAGGAGCATGGGGATTCCTCATTATCTCGTGCTTCTGAACCCCAAAACGAGGATGGATTTTTCATTTTCTAGACTTTAATCGGGGCAGCGTGTGTCTAGATCCTCTGAAACCCTCTCCTGTGAGCAGGGACCCTGCTGTACCCACAGCTGGCTGGTGGGCTCTGCCTGCTTTGCGTGATTTTGGCTCTCTCTATGGCCGGCTGGAGCTCTGGCAGTGGGCAGCCCTCTATTAGCGGGATCAATAGTGCTCCTCTCGGGCCTCCGTGGTGTACAAGGGGTTAAGTCTCAGCACTATGAAGCTATCAGCAGCCACTGCAGCACGAGTTCAATCCCTGGCCAAGGAGGTGACCCACATGGCGCAGCAGACCCCTCCTGTCTCACCCGCTGCTCCCCTCAGCAGTGTATTTCAGTCAGTCTGCCTGTTCTGCTCCCCACTCTGTCTCTGGTGAATCCTCTCACCCCCTGCATCTCTGGCCTGTACCCCAGCTCTTGTATGCATAAATAAATAAAAAAATAAATATTTAATTAAAAAAAAATACTGCTCCTCTCTAGGGCTGCATAACCCACAGCCCCTGCACTTCAGAGCTGCTTTGTTTTTCCTTTCTTTTTTAATTATTATTTTATTTTATTTTATTATTTTTTACATCATTTTTCATTTTTACACAATGTATGCATTTCCATCTTGGCTATATTCCCCATACAATTCCCACACCCCTATTTTGATCCTCCCCCCTCCCCCCCCCCATTGTGTCTCTGGTTTATAGTTGCTCGTCGATTTTTATTTTTACTTTATTATAATTAGTCTTTTTCCTGGTCCCTTATTTAGGTTTTCTAAATTCCTGCTATGAGTGAGACCATCCGGTATTTTTCTTTTTCTTTCTGGCTTATTTCGCTGAGCATGATCCCTTCCAGCTCCATCCATGTTGCTGCAAACTGCATGTGTTTATCTTTTTTGAATGCTGAGTAATATTCCATGGTGTATATGTACCACATCTTCTTGATCCAGTCATCTATTTTTGGGCATTTGGGCTGTTTCCAAAGCTTAGCTATTGTAAACAGTGCTGCTATAAACATAGGGGTGCAGGTGCTCTTTGGAATTGATGTTTCTGTGTCCTTTGGGTAAATCCTAGGAGTGGAATTGCTGGATCCTATGGAAGCTCTATGTTTAGTAGGTCCAGAAATCTCCACACAGCTCTCCACAGTGGTTGGACCAGTTTGCACTCCCACCAACAGTGCAGGAGAGTTCCTTTTTCTCCACAACCTCGCCAACATTTGTTGTTGCTAGTTTTCTTAATATGTGCCATTCTCACTGGTGTGAGATGGTATCTCATGGTAGTTTTGATTTGCATTTCCCATGTCAAGGTGAATGTGGCCTTGGAGACCATGCATAGGTGGTACAAGAATTGGCTTCGGCCCACAAACCTTTGTGGATGACCGTTTCTCTGGGCGAGGCATCCAAAGCTTTTAATCAGGTTCTTGGTGGGTTTCATGCCCCTCATGTAGTGTTCCCATTCCAATCCAAATGTGCCCCTTCGGGTGGCCCCCAATCCAGTGCTCAGGCTGCTCTCTGGATGGAGAAAGGGAGGGGGGTTTGCCTTGACAGCCCTAGTGGTTAATGATTAATGTACATTAATGTGCCGATTTCCACACCCATTAAAAGCCAAATTCCTCAGCTTCTTACTGCAGTTAGATCACTCAGTGTGGTCACATTTCATGCTGTTCAGACTCTCTTCCTGGCACTATCATGTACCTTTGATTAATAAAAAATGATAAATGAATTATTACTTAATTAGTGCAATGTATTTAGTAGGCAGCAGCCCTCAAAACATAAGATCCATGGGGTCCTTGGTGGTTCTAGGAGGGGAACCTCTGGTCTCATGTCACCCTCTTATGTAAGAGATAAAGAAACTATGACCAACTCCCCCACCTCACATGTTGAGCAGGGAATTGGGAGTTGCACCAGGATTCAAAATTTGCCCCTGCCATTCGCTCAGGAGTGTGACCACAGACGAGTCCCCTAACCACTCCAGGCCTCCGATTCCTCATCTGTACCCTTGGGTAACCAAACTATTCTCCCAGGAGATAATGCATAAGAAGTGCCAAGCACATAGTAGGTGCTCAATAAATGGCAGTGGTGGGCCCCCAGCGGCCGCCCTGCTCTGACTGGGTTTCCTGCAGGTGGGGGGGGCCGCCGTCATGGCCGTGGGCGTGTGGACCCTGCTGGAGAAGAGTGGCTACCTGAGCATCCTGGCCTCCAGCACCTTCGCCGCTTCTGCCTACATTCTCATCTTCGCAGGCGCCCTGGTCATGGTCACCGGCTTCCTGGGCTTCGGGGCTATCATCCGGGAGGACAAAAGCTGCCTGTCTACGGTGAGTGCCCACCTGCCTGCCGGGCTCGGTGCCTGGAGGGAGGGAGACTTGCTGGGGCCCCATCTCTACCACCCCTGCCCCCCTGTCAGTGCCTGTACCATGACCCCGCTCTGCGGCCTGGGGAAAGCTGGAGGCAAAGCGGCTGCCCTGGCCTGGTGCTTGTGACGATAGATGTTCAGAGGAGGCCCAACACCCATCACTTTGGCGTGTGGGTTATTTCAAGCTAAGGTCAGTTGAGGGTCTGAAGATTCAAGAATAACTTTTATCACTCCCTTAATTACCTGGAATTATGAATATTGGCGGTGTTACCCAGATTTAGGGCTCTCTCCAGAAATAGCTTTGCACGGATGAACGCTCTCTATGGCAGGGCAGACATCATTACAGAAATCAGGTCCTTTCTTCCTCTGAGTTCCCCCCTTTGCTCCTCCAGGGACGGGAGGGGTCTCCCTCCAGAACCTTGTTCCACTTCTTAGCTCAGGATTTAAAAAAAAAAAAAAAAAATTTTTTTTGTCCATTTACTTTAAGATTGATAATTACATGCAGTCTCGAATCAGCCTGATAGTGCTCCTCCTTATTCCCCTCAACTCTCCCCCACTTTGTTCTCTTCCTCCTCCTCGTCCACTTCTCATAGAGTTTGTCTTGGTAATTTTCAAAGAGATGCAAAATGAAAAGAAGGTTATAGTGCAGCCCCTGTCCCATCAGCAGGTTCCCCAGCCAGCGTCATTGTCTATAGCCAGTGCCTTCCACCTGTCACTTGCCCCCAGGTACCATGTCATCTGTTAGCATTTCAGTGCGTGTCTCAAAAGCCCACAGATCCTTTCTGTAGGTAACTTAATGTAGTTATCTTTATCACACCTAAAAACAATGCACATTCCTATCCCTTAATACTGTGAAATACTCAAGCAGTTTCAGATTTCCCCAGTTACCCCTTAAATGTCTTCTTTGTTTTAGTCTGTTTGAATCAGTAACTAAATTAGACCCATGTATTAAAATTGGTTGCTTTATCTCCTAAGTCCCTTTACTCTCTAAACAGCCATCAATCACTTTTTTCTGGCAATGTATTTGTTGAAGGAACAGAACACATGTCCTAGAGTTCTCCCAGCCTGGATTTTCTGATCATTAGCCCTGTTGATGTCATTTTCTGTTTTCCCAGGGGTTAGCTCTGGAAGCTTGATCAGACTCAGCTTTGACTGTTGGGCAAGAGTGTTTCCAGGGTGGTGGGGTGGGCTGCTGGGACGCTCTCCAGAGCTAGCTCAGAGCCTGGGGAAGAAGCCAGGGTGGGCTGGCAGGGGAGAGGCCAGCACCCGCTCAGGCCTTGCCAGACCCACCCCAACTCCCTGTGCAGCTGGAAGCAGAGCAGACTTCCCCTCCTTCCTGCCTTCCCCTGGGCCAAGTCAGGGTGCACAGAGGAGGAAGGGACAGAGGAGGCTGGACTGCATCTGGACTTAGCGAGGAAGGACTGGGCATGACCCATCTAGTCTCACCAGGAGATCAGATTGAGCCTGAGAGGCATCCGTGCTGGGAAGATGCCCCGGGGGACTGTGTTCTCCTTACTCCACCTCCCCATGCCCTCCATGAACCTGGCAGCCTCGATCCTTGCACATCTGACCAAGGAAGCAGGAGGCAGCCGAGGGACTGTCCCCTGCAGGCTGTCACACCAGCAGTGACCTAGATTTTTAGGTCTGGATACAAAAGTGCTGTGTATAGGCTCCGCAGGATGGCACTCCCCTGCCTAGGAAAATTCCTTACTTCTGCTCTGAGGGGCAGCCCAGAGCAGAGGTGCAGGCTCGTGGGTGCTGAGGGCCAGCAAGGACCAGCCACCAGGCATGGGCTGTGTTTCCAGTGAGGAGCAGTTGTGCCCCAGGACAGCCCCACTGCACCCAGCCGTCCCTTCCGTGGCCCAGTGCAAGTCCTTGCAGCTGGTGGCACATTCTCCATCTTATCAGTGCCAGCGGATGAAGTCGGAGAGTGCCACTGAGTGACAGATGTGCTGTGTGGGGGCGGGGGAGATAGTCCAGCCCTTACAGGGCCCACTGTGGTGCTGGGCCTGGAGCGATAACCCTTCCTGCCTACCCTTGCCCTACTCAGCCCTGCTCCCTTAGGAATGGGGTCTGGCTTGGTCTTGGTTCTCAGGTGAACCTCCTGGCCCACCAAGGCAGGCTGCTGCCCATGTGCCGCCCCTTCCTCCCACCAGGTAATCTTATTGCATCAGGACAGGACTTCCCTCTACCACCCAAGAAGGAAGCCTCGGACCCTCATCTAGAAACTTCTTCCTGACTCAGAAATTCTCTTGGCTCTCAGGGAGTCCCTAAAGATCAGTCCCCTGCCGGGCTGGGAAACAGCCCCTGGTTGCACCCATGCCCAGCTATAATTCAGATGGGCACCATGCCATGTGGCCACCTCGACCCTTCCATAGCAGCCGCCAAAGTCTCCATCACCAGGGAGTCTGTACTAAGCGCTGCTCTGAACACTGCTGCAAGGGCGCTGGCTTAGTCCTCGCCCAGCCGTGCATGTCACAGGCGAGGCATAGAGAGCCGGGGCATAGAGAGCTGCAGCAGCTTGCCTAAGATCGTCACACTGCTAGTGAGGGGCACTCAGGGTGGCCCCCAAGCCCATGCACCATCCCCCCCGTACTATACTGCCTCTGAAAAGTTGATTCACCCACTCCAATGAGAAATCTAGCCTTGGACATGTGGAGCCAGTAAGCACTGGAGCTGAGCTGGGATCCCAGCCTGTTGGAACTTCCCCTGAGAATTCACATCGCCCAGGAAGCCATGCTTTGGGGCAGGCAGGGGGACGGGAAGCCGAGGGCATCTGTCAGGACACAGTTTCCCCGTGTCTCTGGATAATAGAACTGGGCAGCCACTCTCAGAGTGGCTGGGTGGGTACAGCGAGGACTCCCAGCCAGAGCCCTAGGGCAGGAGACCAGGTGGGACCTTGGGGGGCGGGGGGAGGGACCCTGGACACTCCTTGCTCTGTTAAAATGTGGAAATAGTGATGGCATGAGCAGAGGTCAGTCCAGAAGGTGGATGAGAGTGTGGGTCACCCAGGAACAAGTGGGGATACTCGGCATGATTGGCTTTGGGAAGAACAGTCTGATCAAAACTCTTCCTCTGGGTGGCTCTGAAACCAGAAGAGAAATCCCTAGGAGTGACCAACAGCTTTCTGCTCTCCACGCCGCCCATCACGGGCAGCCCTTCTGCACTCCCTTCTTACACCGTCGATTTGCAAGACCTAGCCCACCGCGCAGGCTGAGCTGGTGTCTCCCGCCTCCCGTTCACTACCTCATTGTCACTTGGTCTGAGCCTCCCCAGGGCCTGGGGCTGACTGCAGGGGAGAGGTGGGCACTTCATAGAAGACCAGGCCCTGGGTCAGGCATCCAGGCCTGTACACACCCCACACTCTGCCCTGGGTCAGCTAACAAGAGACCTTCCCTTCCCTCTGGGACTGAGGCTGGCCTGGGGCACAAGAGCTGCCGCTCAGCTGGTGCAAGATGCCGTCCCCATTTGGCTCTACCTTACTGCCTGCCTGCCTTCCCTTCCACCCCACACAGAACCGGGACACAGCACTGATCAGTCACGTCAGAGAGGCCCCTGCTTCAAACAGGTCAGGAGACAGCACACACAGACACCTGCCATCCAGGAGTGTGGGGACAGGCAGCTCCCCCTGGGGGGCTGGCAAACTGCAAACCTCAGTCTGGAATCTTCCTTTGCTTCTCTCTGGCCCTGTCTGAAAGAACCAAAGGCAGAAGCTGCCCAAGGACAGATGTGAGTGAAGCAGAGGATCCTGAGTGATCCATGTCCTGGCCCGTCAGACCCTGAATTATTGAACACTTGATTGTTTAAACAGAAACAATTAGAGCTTTCTTGGGCTAACACGTGTAGGAGTTTTAAAACCCAGGCTCCCACTTAAAGACAAGTGGTATGGCTAAGTCCGTTTGAAAGGGTTCTGTGGTTGCTGAGGGCTCCTTCCTGATTGCATGGCATCTGTTCCTCTCCATGTTGAACTTCCTTTTGAGATCTTAATAGCTTAAGGCTGAAGGCAGCTCCAAAGGAAAAATGCAGTGAGAACAGCTTATACAAAGTGGTCCCCAAAGAGGAGAAGCTAAGATGAAAAACTCTCCATCTGAGCAATAGGTGTCCAGCTTGGATGGAGAGGCAGGAGAGGGCTGGCATCAGAAATGCCCAGAGAGCCAGTGTGGCAGGGGGCAGGTAGGTCCAGTCCATCCAGTGCACACGGCACCATGTCCGCCCGGGCCAAGGCCCTTCCTCCCAGCACATCCACAGCCCCTCCAAGCTGCTTGCCCCAGACGTGCCTGTTCCTCAGGGACAGGAATAGCACGTCTTGGCCTGGTGCTGAAATGATGATGAACTCCGTGTCGGAAGTCTGCAAGGGGCACAGGAATGGGGTTTAAATAATTCACACCAGATCTTTTTTAGCTAAGGCTGCCTGAGAGAGCCAGACCACGCGGGCCATCTCAGTCTAAGGCCAATGGCCAAGAGAGATGCCACTTCGGTGAAGAGAAAGGATATTTTTGGAGTTTGGAGTCTGGGCTCTGAAAACTTGGGTATCTTACGCCACATGAAGATTATAAGATGGATGTCTCAGGCCAAACTAGGTCTTTGTCATAGGATCTTTTGTATTTAGGGGATGGGTTAAAAAGTAAGAAGTTGTAGAACCAACTTCTGAAAATGAGAGCACCACCGATTGGTACACTTGCATCAGACACTCTCAGACTTGGCTAACAAGTGTGATCAGGTCTCAAGTCTTGGTCTCCAAAGCCCAGCTTGCTCGGGGACCTCAGGGAAGTCACTCCCAGCTACCCTGGTGTCCCCTCTTTACATAGAGGTGAAAGATGAGGACAAGAAGGATGTATTTTAGGTCTTCAGAAATGAGTCACCATATTAGGTAAAGGTCATAAAACATGGCTATAAACCGCTATTTACCTCACCAAGCGCAGGAGCAAGCTCTTTGAGAAGGAGCCTTAACAAATGGAACTC